AATCTTCTAATTCTAGTGGCTAATTCCATCCCTAGGAGGCGGGGCTACATTTCTCTTTTAGAGGTCTTTTGATAACCATTTCCCTGTGTAAGGACCACGATTAAACTTATCAATGCATTATACTAAATGGACCTTACATCCACACACCATTGTCCTCCGACCCTTCACATAGACATTTCCACACACTCTATTCCCTTTGAGTTCCTACCACCAAGTGCGTCCTGGTCATCTCCTTTGTTATCAATTACAATCTCTTTGTTTTAATTGCCTTCTTTTTACTCTTCTGATCTTACTCACTACCATTTTTCATCTGTCATAGTGGCATAAATTCTGTCAAAATGGCTCAGGCCGTATTGTTGTTCGGCACTTTTCACTCTGTCTATTGAACAAAATGATTCCAAAAGCGATAGTCAGTGAGGACGCTAATTAAATACTTGTGTATGTTTTGTCTAATTGTAACACGTGTTTGGAGGTTGGTTACACGTGTGCTTAGTATTAATACATATGTGTTGTGTTCTATGTGCAGTACATGTATTTTGTTATAATTTTGTAAAGAAACACGTGTGAGGTGTTTTAATCTAAGCACATGTTTGTCTTGAAATTGGATTTACATCTTGTGGATTAAGACTTTCAATAATGTGTTCCACGCGTATCGATACACGTAGAAGTGGTATGCGTGTTATGTATATATTGGTACATGTGTGGTGTGTATTGTTATACTTGTGATGTGTATCGGCACGTGTGTGTTCTGAATTAGCGCACGTGTTGTACACATGTTTTTATTAATTGCTGCACGTATGTTGTGATTTGTTTCACGTACGTTGCTTATTGATACAAGTGTGTGTTTTGAATTGAAACACGTGTTGTGTATTGTGCACGTGTGTTCTGAATTGTTTCACACACATGGTGCTTTGAAACACACATTGTTGTTTGAAGCACGTGAGCAGAAAGGCACGTGAAAGGAAGACAGTCGGCGTGATAGAAGACAAAAGTGAGACTATACGTTAAACATTCTCTATCGATATGTAACACAAGGCTACTGTTCTATTTCTGAGTTACATTTTGTTTGTTTTTGTTCTGTTGGAGGATCGTCAGAATCTTTGTTTTGATAAGTAAAGCACGGTTCTTGTGTAAATAATTATACAGCACAGTTCTCATTATCAGACACGTGTAACGCGTCTAACTCTACTCAACCCAAACATTCCTGCAGCGGATCGAAACTAAGATACAGGACGTTTCTGATGATAGGTTCCGGTCATGTACAGGTTTTAAACAAAAGCAACATTGCAATGAAACATTCGTTAAGACGTTTCGATCGGTCAGTTCTGAAGCGTTGATGAACCAGACTCTGGTCGGCCGTCAGTTCTAGGACCGGACCCTGGTCGTTTGTCGAGTCTAGAACCAGACTCTTGTCGACCGTCAGTTCTATAACCAGACCCTGGTCGTTTGTCAAGACTAGAACCAGACTCCGGTCGGCCGTCAGTTCTATAACCAGACCCTGGTCGTTTGTCAAGATTAGAACCAGACTCTTGTCGACCGTCAGTTCTATAACCAGACTCTGGTCGACCATTAGTTTTAGATCATGGTCCTTGTCGACCGTCAGTTCTATAACCAGACTCTGGTCGTTTGTCAAGTCTAGAACCAGACACTTGTCGACTGTCAGTACTAGGACCGGACCCTTGTTGGCCGTCAGTTCTAGTATTGGACTCCAGTCGGCCGTCTATTCTAGAACTGGACCCTTGTTGGTCGTGTGATCTAGAACCGGGCCCTGTTCGGCCGTCAGTTATAGCATTGGACTCTGGTTGGCCGTCAGTTCTAGTATTGGACTCTAGTCGGCCGTGTATTCTAGAACTGGACCCTTGTTGGCCGTGTGATCTAGAACCGGGCCCTTTAAGACCGCCAGTTCTAGAATCAGACCCTGTTCGGCCGTCAGTTAAAGTATTGGACTCTGGTTGGCCGTCAGTTCTACAATCTAACACTATTGGAACCGCTGTGTGCAAGTATGTAGATTCGAACCCTGATCTCTGGGCATGTTACGTCGGATCTAAACCGTATCTAAAAGTATACATAAATAAATTGTGTACATCTTTTTGCAGTGTCAAAGCATCCTCGACATTCAATGAGTTCAACGGAGAATTAAGAGGATGTGTAAGCGCGTAGAAACCCATGTTTGATTTTTTTTGTGAACAGGAATACAAAGAAGCGCAGAAAAGAGTTTTTTCATTTAGTCATTGAGAACCCGAAGAATGTAATATGTGGGCATTATTGCTATTAGAAGCTTGGTTATTTCGAACTTTTCTAAACATTCTAATTCACTTACGGAGCAAAATGATCGCCGGTACCGAAGAACTGGACGACAGCATTTATAGTGTAATGTTAACTTTGAAGTCACTCAGAAACGTAATGATGTGTGTTACAAGGGGCATGTACATTTCATACAAACACTCGATCCCAATAGAACGAGCGCTAAACCACCCAGTGCCACTTAAATGAGGAATTTTAATCAACATTACCAAACCAGTTTCGTGACAGTAGGGTATTGAATTTCGGGAAATAAATGCATTAATATGTAACTAAATGAAAATTGACGGTGTCAAACTTCACGCAAATATCCGCTACACTTAGACATGGCGTTAGCTATTGGTAACTATTACAAAGAACGGCTTAAACTGCCACAACCCTGCCATAAATTCTCTTCACGGATCACAATGTATCGCTCCGCCACAAGTCAACTTCATTTCTATGTCCCTCTTGGCGTGATGCCAGATACACCATTAATTTAAGCTTGCACTTCCGAATATGCAAAATATGAAATAAAATTGCAAAAACGTTTCCGGTATAATCGTCATCATTTAAGACAGTTTAATATCTTTTAGCGAATATTCCGAGATCTGCGATATATCACAAGCTACAATAGTGATTGTTTTCTAGTTTTTTCCCATGAAACGCGAGCGTGCAATGAACTATACTTTGACGTGGATGAATTTAATCAAGCGTTTTTTGTCCTGATATTGGCTGTAGTTGTGTTCATTTTACATAGCAGGTCTATAAAATCTGTTTATTACAGAACTATAAGAAACGAGTAAATATCATCTGCAGAATATTCATCCGCGATTCAAACTTCATTATTTGACAGAATCGTATAATGTTATGATGCGTCATTACTTTTTACATAAATATATTTGTTTATTTTTTATTTGCTTTACTCATTCTGACAACATGATCGGAAACAAACGTAAGACAAACCATATCGGACACACTTAAATCCTCAATCATAATGACACAACAGGCATCAGGAATGACGTAAGAGAAATAACAGACAGCATGATGGTAAAATCTACATTAAATTGTCGTAAATTATGTAATATTTCGCAAAAACAAGACGGAAATGTAAAAATCCAAAACCTAGCACATGTAAATATATCCATGGGTGTTAGAATTTATGTTGTAAGTTTAGCGTACACCGCTGTTCGAACAAAACGCCCGGGATTATGATTATCTCTTACGGGGCAAAGCGGGCGTCTGTTATCTACACCTCTCACAGCTAATATTATTACATGCTTCCATCCTGACAAATCAGTCATGTATTGCGTTTTACAGCTCGAAAAAACACGCCAAGACGAGACCCCATTGTGCAATCATCTGGGTCCTGACTGCGCTTTATCTGATCTCTCACGATGGTGCTTAACAATACACGCGCCAACGCCACAACGCCCGTTCTCTGCTTATCCTCAAGACGTGTTTTGTCATATCAAGACAAATTCTGGCTTGTTTATGTAGCACGCTGATGTATTTGAGATATATGGGTAGATCTTTGGTATATCTATATTATAGTTATAGACCTGTTCGTGTTGAAGTTAACTGCCAGGACATACAGTACAACAACTGGTACGTTTAATCTTCACTGTTTTGGACCCTCGGGTCGATGTTAACCTTCAGGGGATATAGTTCGGTATATTGTCCTTTGATTAGCTTGTTTTTTACTACTATAGTAGGTCACCGAACGTATAAACCACTACACGTAACACGTGACTAGATAGTCTATCAGGGTGACATACATATACCCAACCTCCATGGAGATTCGAATCTCGAGGAATAAAATCATGCTTGTTAACGCAAGGAAAAGGTCATACTTGCAGTACCATTGTCTAAACAATGGCCCGAAGAAACTGGGGTCACATTACAAGTGAGTCGATCCCTGGACTACATATTATTAGTTCAGAGTTCTACCGAGATGTTTTGGCAAATGGCACAATCCCTCTTGTTATACATTAACAAGCGACGTAAGATGGTTCTCCCCTCTAATAGGTACCGAAAGAGCTAGTTCTACAGAAGGTGTTTATTCTGCTCTTCTGTAGAGGATTTTGTTCGCTATATCATCGAATCGTCACATTGAACAATTCAATTATGATACTGTATGTATTTAAAACTGACTCTTTTATCAGCATCGTCAAAACTGAGATTGCCCCCCACCTGAACAGCTGGTAACATATCCAGATACTTGTAGTCCTTCCGCTTTATGGCACAACGGTAACGAAAGCGGTTGGTTGATCGAAGCGTCCTTTCCAAGAATGACAAGTTAGCCTAAATTATAGCTATTCCTATCCATTCAACAAGTTGGTACTTAAAATGTAACATAATATCCCCTATTCTAACTGTCTTTGATCGAATGTGTATCTGGTGTGGAATCCTGGAATTTGGCGGATGTTACTGTACTATCATACTCTCTCAGAGATGTACCTGGTTTTTATACTTTTTGGCTTACCGAACTGTGTACAGATATGAATTGTTTTGATTCGTCCCTGTATAACGTAAGTTAATAATCTGTTGCGTTTGGCTAGATTAAAGCTTACTCTCGTTCAAGAACTGCAAAGCCTGTACAACATATGCGGACACAAAGAGCATCAACAGTGATGTCTAGTTCCTTAAAACCACAATCTTACTCTATAACGCGCTGGTGAGACGAGAATGTTCTATTGTCAATTCAGTGTTATGCTTACCTTCCGCCACCTCCTCTCGTATTCTCTTTTCCACAAACTGAAAAATACAAACAAAAATGTCCGTGAATGTTTAGATTAGCACAGCAGCGTTCGCCATTATTACAACAATTATCATCCATACTGAAGAATTACAGAATATACTACATTTTATCACATACCTGTTGAATCTTGTTATAGTAATACAAGCAATTTTCAGACTATGAAATACAACGTTCTGTATTGCACAGTGCAATACGGAATGTTGTATTACCTACTAGCCAGAACTACTTTTTATGGGAATCCCCTTGTCATAGCAAACTGAAAAGTTCCCGGTATTTGCAAAAAATATCAAAGTTTATAAAATCTTTGTATCGATCTCTACCAAATACAGAAGGTATGTGATAAAAGCAGGACCACACACTTGTGTTTTTCTAACGAATCAGAAAGCACTCATTTATTGCGCGGACGTATATATTCACGAGTGCGCGTACTTTATACGTCCGCGCAATAAATGAGTGCTTTCTGATTCGTTAGAAAAACACAAGTGTGTGGTCTTGCAAAATGCATGTACATTCAGGTATATGTAAAATGCTGCAGTGATGCGGTTTGATTTGAGAATGTCTGTGAGATTTTGTGTGTGGGCTGAAGGACAAAGTTAAACCCCAATCATCTTGTTTAACAAACAATCGGGAATACCAAACGTACTCTTGCATTAAAATGTTTTTCAAAGACCAAAACTCAAATTAGGACCTGAATAAGCATCATTCATATTCAGTTAAAATAGGGTACAGCAAGGGTGGTAATATAAAAATGCATCGCTGTCATTGCAAAGGGCGTATACACTGGCAGAAATAGCGGGAGGGAGAGGCGCCGCTGTGCGTGAGAGGGTTTTTCTCCTCCCTAGCCTCTGTTTTAATACCGTTGTTGTGTTCAGTTTCCCCTGTTGAGTAACGGTACTTAATTCAATTAAAATCCCCAATAGCTAGTTGAAGCACCGCTAAAACACGCTATAATGAGGTCACGAGGGCTTCGGGATCGCTCCAGTTTAAGTCTCACTGTCAACACCAGCCATCGACTAAACTATTAAATGCAACAAACAGCAAAATGTAATTTACTCACGTCAACCCGCGACCCACTGTTATTTCAAATATGGTTTATTTTTATTTCAAAGGGTTTAAAAACCGTTGCGTCTTCCATATAAACGCAAATGAGACTCCAATAGTTATCACAGTGCCTTTATGTGCTTTCAACATTTGCTCTCTTGATTTATCCGTTTCTTTTATGTCCGTAAAGCCATTTGATGAACCAAAAGAGCTCTCTGAAGCATCCCCTTGATTCCGTGGAGATCGCTTTATATACATGGATTTGCTAAGCTAATTGTTGGAACTCGCTCTAGTTTCATTAGGCCTATACTTGGTGCTCATTTGTGAGCATTTCGCCAAATCCTAGAATCGATGCCTGGCCTTTATATTAAGCTTCCGAATAGAAAGAGTCTGTTACGGCTGCATCAATAAAATCGATTCTGCTTCAGAGCGAAATCACGGCGTCTTTATTCAGGGCTAAACGGTTGACAGTCGGCCGTAGCGTACAGCGTCTGAACCAGACTCTGGTCATACATGGACAGTCGTTACTCGTGCTCGCGTGCTAGCTTGACCGTTAGCTGGTAGGAACGATGACTGTGTTTATCTCAGTAATGCACCCTGGTGATGAAAATCAACTATTGGGTGGTCTTTATGGGAGAATTAACACAAATTATACCTAAAAATGTGTCCGTTTGGATCGAACCGAGGGCTACTTTGGACGGCATGGCAGCGTTTCGCAGCACGCGCCGGTCCTAATTACATAACGTCTGATAGACAATCACAGCTCAAACATATCATAACAAAAATAGTTCGCCAAACTCACCAAATAGTCACGAAACCTAAAACGATACATAGATACCACCATTTCAAAACTCATGTTGTCTAAAAAAATACTTTAAAGCGAAGTCAATAAATATACAATTTATGAAAATATCTTGAATATGGTTGGTCACTTTAGTCTGCTGGTTTCTTGTTCGAACAGTATAATTAGTGTAGCAGTGTTGCCTCCTCTTTTTAAACATGATTTTATATAAACTTAGGTTAGTTTGTAAGTAACGTTGTATCAGCCACTGTCCCTACGTCCACCTAATTGAGCTTCGTGGCGGAACGCACATTTCTTTTTAACAAAAGAAAACAGGACTCATGGAGAATTGTTGATGTTAGCCACATGGCGGAAATTCCTAATGGGAAAATAAAACTTGTCGGCTTACACCCTATGAGCGATTTATGAATACATTCAACAGAATACAAACTTACATGGGTTTCCTTGTGAAATAATTGTAATGTAATAAAAAATATTATTTCTGATCTCGCTATGTATGCAAATATAAGGGACACGTTTGAAACATAAGGTAACACTTGTTACTAACACTTAGAGCTACTCATTGACATTGTATTGATCTGACACATCAAATGAACTGGGGACAGATCATTGTGTCTCACAGTACCGTTTGCTCAAAGTTGACAAAACATCCTGTTTCCCGGAAGCGATTTGTTTTTCAATTCGGAAGAGAGTTTTCGCCCATAATTTCATCTGCAATGGCAGACGTCCTCTCATTCAAAACTGTAAGACTATATTGTTGAAATTACGTTTACTTGTTTATTTTAAGTTATAAAAACATGATAATGAGTCATAATGTATTTGTCTGTGATTGATGTTTGTTGGGTATAATAAACAAAACATACCCTGGTGGTAGGGTGATATGACTGTTTGTTTATTTTTAACAGCCACATTCTACGCTGGCTTTGCTCTTGAGGAATATATATGCTCCTGGTAAACAAACTTTTATATCACCCTACCACAAAAATTATTAATTCTCTGTACTATGTTATTAGATGACACAAGGGATTCTCAAATTTACCGGGTTTTTTTTATACAAGTTTGAATCCAGAATGATTTAGGCATAAGTATTGAATTACAAAAAAAAGGTTCGTATTTTTTAGCGAAATGTTAACATATCAGTTATTTAAAAACCACAACTTAAAAGAAAACCGTACCAACATACATGTATTCTTTTTGTTTTCAAAACCGGGATTACAACAATGAACATGATATAAACAACAGGAAGCAATTGGTGAGATCTTAGGTTTGTTACGGTTTTCAAAAGATTTAGGGCTAGCCTGTGAATATACCCATGTCATACTTTTTTGCGTATTAACTAACCCATGGAATATGACCTATCGGCCCAAGGTTGCATGAAAATTGTCGTTGTACACGGATAAATGCCACAAATCTTGATTGTTTTCATTTCATATAAAATTAATGAACTCATCACGAATGTTTCATTTTAGCTCGCCAGAGGCTCGCTAAATTGAAAAATTCTGAAGACTCGTTTCATAAATCTCATATGAAATGGAAACTCATGTAAGATCCTATATATATATAATATAAACAAATGATATTGTATGTGTATATGTATGATATTGATTTTTATATAAGAATAGTAAATAAATTTATAGTATGGTTCCGTCTGCTTTCCATTCACTCCTGCTGTCACGTTAGACATATGAGAGAAAGTGTGGTCTTTTGACCCTGTACATTAGCTAGCTGGGAGTTCCGATTGCCTACAATGAAATTGATTAGCTGACCTCTCGGACTCACAACGTGTCAATCAAGTCCAATAGATACCAAACAAATAATAAAAGAGAAGATGTGCCGAATTCATTAGCACAATGGCGGGCAGCAGATAAAACCACGCGAGACTTGAACCCAACTGTCTGCGGTTTAACCTGAACTCCTGACCCCTCATGAACAGGTAAGTCTAATTGGACACGACCAGGTGAAATGTAACACATGTAACGCCTGTCACTCGTTAGAAAAACAGGATGCTAACAAACAATGAAATCTCAACAAATGGGTCCACCAATTGTCATTGTATTCCTCCGCGGGAGGTACTATTTCCCGAGATCCTTCGGGGCATCTGACCTAGTGCCTTTAATTACCCGGGAGACAGTTTAGGGCGCTAACGCGGACACCGACTTGTTTTCGGTATTTGTACACACAACTAATTTGAGCTGATACGGAAACGATAATAATTGACTTTATTGTGGCTCCTCAAAAGGACAAGTCGCATCGTATAAAGAGATTTATCATTCGCGTAATGCTCCGATGGGTCGGTAAAGATTATACATGTATATGTACTAGCGTTACCAGACAGGATTTGGTTATCCAAGCACTTTCTATATGGCTGTATGAAGATACATGTAAATCTGCCGTATTCTCTACTTTTACTTAATGGCACCAATGATCATCTCATTGCAATTAAAACAGACCCATTATGGTCATTTATAACACTACACCTATAATATCTGTTCCATTTACGGATTATAACAGAAAATATCAGCAAAATGGTTCCTTAAAACAAAACAAAAGCACAGAAACAGAGATTTAAGTTGCTCTAAAAACGACTCGGAGAAATTTCATTTGTGCGCAAGCTTTCTGGAGCTGGCTTAACGTATGTACAATATTAGCAGAGCCAAGTCATCTACCCTTTTAGACCTATTCCGACTAGATTATGTACAATATTAGCACAGCCAAGTCATCTACCCTTTTAGACCTATTCAGATTAGATTATGTACAATATTATCACAGACAAGTCATCTACCCTTTAAGACCTCTACCCTTTTAGACCTACCCTTTTATACCTCTACCCTTTTAAACCTATTCAGACTAATTAGTGAGAATTGTATTTTTTATTTCAGACTTTTAAGACATACAATTCACATCAAACTAATTATTTCCTGTCGTGAAATCGTTTAATTGTCGTCTCTGCCATATCCGATTTCTCATTTAATTAGAAATCAGCCTCCCCTCCCATTCCTCTCCCCCTCCCTTTCTCTTCTCCTTTCTTCCTCTATTCTCTTTGCCGTGAACTACAACCTATCTAATCAACCCAGCCTTCTAGTCAATGACAGAACCTGCCGTGACGCGGGAGTTATCAATTCCACGTGCTGGAACAATGCCGCAATCGAAGAA